AGGAACTCTTTTTCTCATATGTATTTTGGTGACATTTATATTGTTAATACATTTTGGATACTGTGTTTAGTGCCTTTTTTCAGGTCAGAGCAACTGCCCTTCAAAATTCCTGTGCACGTCCCTGTCATTCAAGGTAATGTTACTTTGATCTAGTATCGACATTTCTAACTCATTATTTTCTTTTCATTCTAGAAATCTACATGACCACAATAAATAATAATAATTATAATTATAATAAGAATTACATTTGTATAGCCCTTTGTATCTTAAGCAGAACACAAAATGTTGTATCTGTTCATTTCAGGTGACATGATGAAGCCCTCTGGATGGCTTATATCCATCGAGGGACATGTCGTGATGGGCCCACACCCTTTCTTTTTACACGGAGTAGCTGCTTTCTTCAGCACGTCTTACGTCTTCAACCTTGAGTATCCTGCCGCTGGATCGTCGACGCTGGAGTTCATTCAAAGGTATTTTATAAAGATCACATTTAATCTTAATTCACATTATAGTACAGGCTTCCAACTCAATGATTGTCTTGAGGTCTAAAATGCTGACAAACAAGGTACCTGAGGCTAGCCTGGTAAGACCATCCTGAACTCGCGAACTCATTCAATTTCGCTCTGCAGATCAGTCTGGTTTTCTACACGTTATGCTGACAAATACCTGCCGGTCCAATCACAGCTATTTATTTTGTTTGGGGCAGGCTATGTAATGATGATTTCGAAACGTCTATTGCGAAATGCAAATGTATTGAATGAAGTAGATGAAATTTTCTTTAAAAGCAGAATAAAATGCTCTCAGGCCCTTAATTGAAAAGGATGTGTTTGTCATACTTTCAACAGGTTTTGGTTTTAATTTACCAACTGGCCAATTGCGTGAAGATGCATTTCAGTGGCGGCGCACATTGATATGGCTTCTCATAGTAGAAAATCAACCACTTTGCCTCAGGCAAACCTAACCTGAGGCACCTTGGCTAAAAATAGCTAAAAAAAATTATGGTGAGAGTAGATCTAACAAGTTTGGATTATAAATCTATTAGGGTTTGATGTGGGGAAAAAGCACAGCAAAAAGCACACCTTGATAAATGCTGTCTGCAATACATACTGTAAGTCTATTTAAACCTGAAACTATCTTTGCTTATTAACAGGTGCTTCCTGGGCATCACTCCTGAAAGAGGCTCAAAGACCAAGAAGCGGACAACAATGAACACCTCATGTGAGCACCCTTTTTTTTTTTTGCAGCGGTAGTTGTCAGGCTCAGTTTTGAGTAGCCTTGTTCTTTTTGTAATTTTCAAGACAACTTTGCACTACAAGATTTTTACACAATGCTGTTGCGTGTGGACTCATTATAATGTTTGAGACCTGACCCCTTTAAGACATTCCTTCATCGCTCTCTCCCTTGCTCTCTTATCTTGCCATGAAGGCCTCATTCCCATCCTGTCCATTACTGTTATTGTGACACAGCTAGATGAATAGTTGAATTGTGAAACAGGTAGTTGAATTGCAAGTTTGCACAATTTCTCTGCATTTTCTGCATTTTAAGATGGCTTTTATGACTAGAAAGTTGAATTTCTTGAACTCTTGAAGTTCTTGGCATCTGCTGTACATTGATAAATATTGTAGTGGACCTAAATTTATTAGTTATGCATTTTAATAAATGTATGAGAATTGATACCCAATTATGAATTATTATTCATAAAATCAGAATTTCCTCGTAAAGGGCACCACCGGAGTTGTTATAATCCTAGAGTCTCCGGACCTCTAGGTAGTTTTGAATAATTATACAATTATTACTAGTGATCAGTTAGTTAATAATCGCTCAATTATCTTAAATCAGTCAGTCAGTCTCATATCTAAAGGGTCAATTCTCTTGGCAGGAACTATAAATAGGCAACACACACAGCTCTTGATTATATTACAGTGAATTTATTCTCTAACTAAGGTGATAAAAAGACGGTTGGATACAGGGAACATAAACATTTGCTGAATAATGAGCCTGGAGGTTCGATTGTGGGAAGCATTTGACTCATACGGCATAGAAGAACTAATGAGAGTAAACTAATGCTATAGTTTAGGAGTTAAAATGGACATCTGATCACAGGACGTGTGTTAAGTCTTACTGCTTGTCGACAGCCTGCTTTTGGCCTGTTGCACGGGTCCCACGCTAGCTGCCCGATCCTGGCTTTTTGATAGGGATTCTCCGGGGTTCTCCGTGTCTGATTGAAAACGCCTCCTCCGTCTGGCAATTCGGCGGTTTGCAGGTTTCCTTTGTTGCAGTTGGCGAGACCACGTGGCTTGGTCTGACCTCGGTGAAGTTGGCTTGACGAAAAAGGCTTAAAATGGAACTTGGTCGTTCCTGAATTAGTCCAGTGTAACTTAACGGACTCATAACTTTAACAAACAAAAGAAATAAAGAAAATAAAACAAACTGAAGGCAGATCGATGTCTCGGCACTTCAGGTGTGTAGCTTCAGGCGAACAAAGGCCTGTTTGTTTCGCTGGCCGAGTCTGGGCGTGTTGCCTGGCGAGGCACGCTACGCGCGTGCCGAAGCATCCAGAGGGCCGAGTGGAAGAGCGAGAAGGGGGAAGCGGGAAGAGGCAAGCGGGAAGAGCGAAGAGCAGGTCGCGTGTCGCTCTTTTGTTGCCTGGGGCGTGGTTCCCCAGGGGGCGTCTCAGGTTTCCCCAGGGACTGCCTCTCTAAACTTAATGTCTAAAGAAAAGAAATCTATTTGCACGTATTATAATCAAATATTTTCCACAATCGAACCTCAATGGTTGAACGGTTGTACTGTTCTAGGCATTTGGTAACAGGAAACAATTGTCACATTATTGGTCAGGATTTTTAGACATTTAACCGCATTTCCGACGAGGGCATGTAATACTTATTTCGCCCACTTGGGGGAGCTCAGGTTACATGAGGAAAGCTTGGATTAAATCAAAGATCGTCTCTCCTTAGGAACCGGGGAATATTGTTGATTCATCCTTAAATTCAAGCTGGCGATTAAGAGTATAGTAAAACATTTCTTTGTCATCATTTCTAAAGGGTAAATTTTGTAAGAAAGTATTATGAACAAGCATTGATTACATTAGATGAAGGAGTGTCTTGCTGAAAATAAAAACATTGCACAAGTAACTTCTTTTCAGCACTAATATCAACAACAGATAGCAACAACAGTTAACATAACTACTCAAATAGAGGCAAACATATTCAGGTAACTAAAGATTTAATTAAATTTAATTAGATGCTTTGAGTCTTTTGGAGACTGCAGTCCTTTGTCATCCAAAGTTCAGTGTCTGGAACATGTCACACTTAGGTGAGACAAGGAGTATCCTCTTGATGTGGTAATAAAACAAAGAATAAGGTCAGTTGCCACGGAAACGTGTGTGGGGGGCCAGTTTTGATAGGCTGTTCAGGGAGATGCCAATGGCTGGCTCGTGTCCCTTTGTCAGTTTAACAGTCAGGCCCCGCGTTATCAGCTTCGGAATCAAAAGGGTGCCAGTTTTATGGTCGGGCTAGCACTTAGAGAAAGCAACTTTGACCCCTCCCCATCTTCTCTGGGGAGGAGAAAGGAATTTAGGGTAGCTCCACATTTATTCAATGTAAAATGCACAAATCCACATCGTTGTTCACTACAATATTTATTTGTTAATAACTATGCCATTGGGCTAACATTGAATTTACCTCAGAGTTGTTTGTTGGGGGGAGGGAGTTAATTGTACAATGATTGTAAATTCACAGTAAATGGAAGCTTCATCTGCATTACTTTTACAGTAAGTTACTGGAAAATTTTAGCATGACTTCCACAGTACACATTGTAAATTCACAGTAAATTATTGTCAACTTGTACATTACTTTCACAGTACACACTGTAAAAGTACAGGGCCTTGTTGTAATGATGTACAGCAAAAGATTATAATTCCCTAGTAATGTACTGTAATATCACAGTAATTCCTTTGTCATTGAAGCTGTGAAGTTAGTTAGTATACAGTTGTGCTTTTACAACAATGCATTGTAATATCACAGATATAAAATTACAGTAAATTGCTGTGAGTATATTTCACAGTATATTGCTGTAATCCTTACTGTGAAAATCATGCAAAATTTATCCAATTATTTATTGTAAATTCACAACGAAAAATTTTGCAGTGAACAATTTCAAACTATATTATCAGTAGCTTATAGACCAGAAACGCAAATACTTGGGGACCTTTAGCCAGTGTTGTTTATGTACACTTACGTTGACATGTCTTTCTCATAACTGAAAGAACACACAGCTTCATCACCACATTTGTAGAGTAACATACAGTCAAACAACACTTGCAGACACAAAATAATCACACAAATAGATTAAATACAAGGTAAAGAAAACGTTAGGTGTAAACATAGCATAAAAATAAATTTAGGTGGTGAATAACTAAACTGGCGCCGACTAAACCTATATTGTCTTACCTAATGTCAGCATCGGCAAACACAGCTCTCAGCCAACTCAGCTGCAGTTACATATAATTCATCATCTCTACTGTGGCTCGCTCCACCAGCCTGCACTCCTAGTTGCCGTTAGCTGTATGCTAAGTAGGTAGCTACGTTGGCTAGCGATGAAAGTAACAAATTACAATCAAAATGATAAAAGCCAGATTACCTGTCCAGCAGAAATAAAGCGACCACGGTGTAACTTTTCAGCCCCTTGGGATACCTCAGTTGTCACCATCATTGTGTCAGGATGCATGGTTGGGTGAGCAGGTTAGAGGACCCAAATGCAGGACACAAGGCTGATTCAGATTCAGTTCAAAGATTTAATTAAAGACAATGCGAGCACACTTACAAACATAGTGGAGTCCAGGGTATTCTAAGTAAAATACACGTCAGTAGTGATGTGCGGATTTGTGATACCAACGTTTCCTGCTCTAGGATTGATACTCATATAAAAGGATCGATATCTAAACTCAGTCATTTGGAGTGAGTGTGTGTTTTATCATAAGTATCTTACTGTCACCAAGTCTAATTATACTCGGTTGATAGGAACTACTTTTCCTTCCGCCTGTCAAAGTCATGCTTGCGCTACGGCTCTGTGACGGAACTTCTTTGAAGTGAGTCGCTGCAGACCTTCACATTTCCCGCGATTGAATACTGACACTGGCTGACTGTAAAAACAGTCACGTCTGGCTGTATTTTATCTGTGAAGGTAATAATGAGGCTGTGTGTGTGTGTGTGTGTGATGTGTGTGCAAAGACAGTGAAATACTTTGGCAACACCGCAAACTTCGCTAACCATCTGAGATTAAGTCTGTCAATAATAGGATGATGTTATGAAGCGGCAGTTCTGAACAGGATATTTTCATTATAATTTAAGAATATGACAGTATTTTGATGTCTTGTCATTATGCAGCTATTATTTGAATTGGTAAGGCTACAGCCTACTCTTTATTTCTCTCATAAATACAGAAATGGGAGGGGGGAGGTCACATTAAACTAGAAATAAAATATGTAAAAAGTATTGGTATCGGCCTGGGTATTACTTGGTATTGGATCATATAGGAATTAAGTGGTATTGCACATCACTACTCCTCAGGAGAGAGCTGACCAGGTGCGCGCATGTGGGTGGCTCCAGGCCCAATCCCAATGTCCACCCTCACAGACTCGCAGACTTTGAGGCGCGTTCCCGGGAGTCCATGAGGGCTTAGGGCTGTCCCACTGTCAAACCGTCAAGTGCACGAGGGCTCTCTCGTGGACATTTTGAGCTCTTTTTAGACCCATTTCTGCAGACCTTGGCTGAGGGAATTGCCCACAGTTCATAGCGGTATGATATGAAACACGGGGGTTACCTGGGGAAGCCCGGAAGCGAGAGAAATATCACGGCAAATCTGCGTTATAAGATAAGAAGAAAACAGTAAACAAACTATCGACACCGACGCTGATGTTAACATTGTTGAAAGTTTTCTTTAGTTTTTGCTTAATGATGCTGTTTGACCAACAATAGTGTATTGATTATTGAAAAATATATATTGACATTTACCTCTCTTCCACTCTGTGGGCAAGAGCCTGCAGGACTTAAAATCAGGTAAAAACATAAAATAAAAAGTTTGCAACCTGTTTCAGCATGGTCAAGGTGATAAAGTGGAAAAGGGCTGTCCTGTTCAGTTCATAGCTGATTTTATACTCTCTTTTTCAGAGCAGCTAACGTTTTAATATGTATTGGTGTATAAAGACAGTTTCAACAAA